AGGAGGTACTCAGCAGAAACTTGTCCAAGCTGGGCGTACAGTATCCTGCAAATGCTTATGTGACTCACAGGGGATGCCCTCCTATCACCCACAATCTCTATGCTGATGACACCATTATCTTCACAAGAGGGTCCAAGCAGGTGTTAGACAAAGTAATGTCAATAATCCGAAGGTACGTGCAATGTTCGGGTTAATTGGTGAACAAGGCGAAGAACTATTTTTTCACTTCAACAAAAGCCTCTCATAGCAGAATCCAAATCATAAATTCAATCATGGGCTACGTACATAAGTCTCTAACCTTCACCTACCTGGGGATCCCCATTGGTAAGGGCCGAGTGAAAGCAGAAGCATTTGATGGGATTGTGCAGAAAGTGGCAACTAAAATTTTTGGCTGAAAAGGGAAAATGATTTTAGCTGGAGGTATGTTTGTCCTAATTAAACATGTATTGAGAAGTATTCCGATATACTTGATGTCGGCAGTTGCAACTCCCAAGAAGATTATCAAATGCCTGGATCAATTGATGAAAGGATTTCTTTGGTCTAATTCAGAGACAGGTAGTCATCACCATTGGATAGCTTGGAGGAAATTTGTGAGTCCTTTTTCTGAAGGTGGGCTGCACATTAAAAGCTTATCTGATGTCCAAAAAGCACTCAGGTTGAAAGCTTTGTGGCGAGTGTTGTTTCAAAATTCTTTGTGGGCTGAATTCTTTAGAGCCAAGGTGCTGAAGGGTGATCATTCCTATACAACCATCCCTTCGTGCTATACTTCTCATACCTAGAAGGTGAGCATGGAACTAAGAGGTGACTTAGTCCTTCTCTCGAGGTGGTTAGCGGGAAGGAGAGAAATCAGCTTCTGGCTGGATAATTGAACCATGATGGTCCTTTAATTGGGAAATTCATTCAGCTAGATGGTCTTAATTTGCAATTGAGAGTTTGTGATATTGTTGATGAGGCAGGAATTTGGAGTCTGGATCATGTTAGGAGGTTTCTTGAGGATGAGGCTCTCCGACATGTTCAGAGGTCAGGTGTAAAGCTCTCTAACAGACAAGACAAGATAGTTTGGCTTCCTGAAATGAAAGGGGAGTTCTCTATTAAAACAGCTTGGTCCTTCTATAGGGATGCTCATTCTACGGTGGAATGGTACAAGGTAGTTTGGAATGCTCTAGTGCCCACTAAGATAAGCTTCTTTGTCTGGAAACTTATGGTGGGGAAGGTATGGGTGGACTCTGATATAAAGGAGTTGGGGATCCCTTTTGTATCCAGATGTGTCTATTGCCGTGACCACTTAGAGGAGAATGTTAATCATTTGTTGGTGCATGGCTGTCTAGCTAGAAGAGTTTGGCTTTTCTTTAGCCGATTGTTTGGGCTTCCCTTCAGGGGTAACGAGAGTATTAAGGAGCTCCTCTCTGTTTGGTTTTCAGCAGCCTCAGAAAAAAACCAATGGGCTGTTACAGTAGGGCTGGTTGCTTGTTTTGCAGTCTGGAAAATATGGAAGGAAAGAAACAGGCGCAGAATAGAAAATAAATTCAGATGCTCTAATATGGTGATGCGATGGATTCATGAGGTATCCTCTCCTCTAAATCTCACCCATAGAGTGAGTTTTACTCAACAGCTCTCTATAGGGTTTGGGGTTGCGAATTCATCCCACTAAGAATAGGTACATCAAGGTGGTGCATTTATTAGAAGTTCCAGAGGGTTACTTTAAGTTGAATGTTGATGGTGCTTTTAGAGGAAATCCTGGCCCATGTGGTGGAGAGGGTATCATCAGAGATGGAAAAAATTGTTTCATTAGTGCTTTCTCTAACACTTATGGTTCAGACTCCAATTTAGCTGTAGAGGCTATGACTTTGCTGGATGGCTTACACCTGGCGGTTGCACTTAATTTAGAGAAGATAATGGTGGAGTCAGACTCTAAACTTCTAATTGATATTCTCAATGGTACTTGTACAACCCCTTGGAAACTTTGGTTTTGGTTATCTCAGGTTCAAGAGCTTAGAAATAGATTGGACTTCTTTTGTGTCCATATTTACAGAGAGGCTAACCAACCGGCGGATGCTCTTGCGAAGCTTGGTTGCTTAGAGTCTCAAAAGACTGTTTATGATTGCACAAATACACTTCCTTCACACGTATAGTACTTGATTACAGCAGATGGTTTAGGCCTTCCTTTTTTGAGAATTTATTGATTTTAGGTTGCTTGGACGCTTAATGTTTATACGAGTCAGACTCCCTTTTATATAGAGCGAGGGGTAAGGTTTCACGTTCCCCTCCACAGTTTTCTACATATTAATAAAATTTCGGTGGGCACCCCTCCACCGGGAGTAAATTTTGGGGCTCAAAAAAAAAACAGAATTACAAAATACGTCTCATCTAGCTCACAATTTGCAAATATATTCACCAAACCCTTATAAGCCCAAGACATTCTTCAACAATTTGTTCAAACTAGAAGTTCAAGCACCAATGGGGTTTGATAGAAGAGGCAACAATGGGGTTTACGGGGGATTGTAAGAGATCAAGGGCAATGAGCCCAATATTCTTGAGGCCTTGATGGAAGATGCAACAATAGAGTTTCCTATTGGGAAACTTAATTTCTTTCCCGTTACTTCTTTCTATTGTAATTGTAATTCTAATAGACATTGAATTGTGCTTCCTATTGTATCAAGGACAGCCATCCCTCTCTTTTATTTAATACAATTAATTCTTGTGAGTCATGACATTGGACTCACACGCTCTCTCTCCTACTCTCTTTCTTAAACTTCATTACGTAGGTCAATTAATTGCTATTGAATATTTGTCCGAACTTTTTTGAAGTTGTTTATTAACATTTTGGACTATCAACATATCCAATTTTACCACTAGTCAAAACTTGTTAGATATATGAATTTTACCCCCAAAACTGGAAAAAATCTAATAATTAAAAAAAGTATTTTTTATATGTTTTAAATGATTTTCATTGCATAAAAGAACCATAAGATGGATATATCAATGATCAATCAAACTCATTGATCTAACAATACTTTATGCGGAATGATTTTTTTCTTAATTTTTTAGGAAAAATCCCAAAATTAATAAAACAATTAATTTTGTATATTATAAATGATTTTAATGGCAAGTAACAACTATAAGATGAATCCATCAATTATCTTTCAAACTCAAAGATCTAACAACAATTTAATGTATCTTGTACTAAACTTTTTGTAGGTTGGAAGATCACACATTGTTTGGCATATTATCAATGAAACTATCGTATATCTACATTCTTAGACTTGTATTGTTGATTTGATTGTAATGTATCATTTCATGTAAACTATTGAAGTGTGTATTCCTACAGTATTTAAACTTGGTATTATTGATGTATTTGTGGGATTTGTAAGAATTTCCCCAATGCATCCAAGTGTATCTATATCTTTCCATTATATCAATGTATATCCAAAGCATATAGTGATGCACATCCATATCCAATCTTACAATATGCTTTTTTGAACCGCGAAGCCCAAGCTTACATACTTAAGCCCCTTGCCTTAGCTCCCCAACTGGAATGGGCAAGCCAGCAAATAGCTATAACCAGATCCTACCTATCAAGGCTGCTACAGTTGATCATTAAAAACCGAAAAACTGAAAAGCCAAACCCAACTAACAAGACTGAATTGAAAATTCTAGTTAACCGAACTAATTAGTTCAATATTTTTGAAAAATTGAAGGTATCAGTTCACTTTTGTTTAACGAATATAAAACCAACATATGTTTATATATATTATATATATTTTTCACATATATCTATAATATATAATATGTAATATATTATTTATTATTTATAATATAACATTTTACATGTATTTCTAAAATTCTAATTTCTTTATTATATATTTATATATTTATTTTAATATATATTATAAAAATAAAAAACCAAAAAACCGATGAACCAAATCGACGATTTACCGAACCAATTAACCAGTTAACTGATCGGCTTTTATTCAATTTCAGTTACCAATTTTCCTAAAAATGGTACCATCGGTTTGGTTTGGAAAGAGGCCCATAATTTGGTTAACTGAACCATCAGCACCCTAAAGACTATGTCCATGTTCAAATCACCTTGAAGCCCCCACAAGAGTGACAATCTCACGCTATCGAGCCCAACAAGCTTACAATATGATATGCAATACATGTATGTAGAAAATTTGACCAAACCAGCCATTCGAATCGATTAAGCCATTGAAATAACTAGAAACCGGTGAAAACCAACTGACCTACAAGTTTAACCAAAAATCAGATGAGCCGATCCCAATTTCATGAAACATTTCAGGTTATTAAGTAATTGAAATTTAAAACGTGTACAATAGTATTTGAACCCATGAGTTCTTGCTTTCAAGTATTACTTAATTACCACTAGCCCATCTCTTTATTTGTGTCAATTAATGACTATTGTATATGTTACTTTATTATGCATGTATTTTAAAGAAAATGTAAATTAAAAAACTTAAACATTGGTAATATATTTAGTATCTATGACTTGTAAGATATATATGTATATGCCACATCATCACGATTCAACCTCCAATTAAACCCTACTTGAATCTTTGACCCAAAAACCTCTCCCTTTTCCAATTCTATGCCCAGTCCAGTTCTCTGAACATTGTGCAAAACCAATATTTTGAACATTGCTTAGAAGCGCATGTTAACAAATGGTCTGTCTTCAAAGATCAGCCCCCAAAAGCTCAGTAGGTCTTTTGATCAATTGAGCTTTTGAAAAATCTTTAGAAAGACTTGGCAAACACCACTAAGATATACTTATATATCTTAATTCAGAAAATCAACATAATTATCGTTAATCTTAATAAATATATAAATCAATTATTAAATTTGTTAATAGGCATAAACTAAGAAGAGAAAATGTCAATTAAAATATAGAATTTAACTAACAATTAAAATATATAGTACAAAGAGAATTTTACCAAAAAAAAGTACAAAGAGAATAAGCAGTAGTGTTATTGCAACGACGAACATGTTGAAAAAGACACCAATGGAATGATTCAAAGAAGTTTCCCTTGCGTCCAAAATAGTTGTTTGAATTTGCCATGAAAACAGTTTATCGTCAAACTTCATGTAAACGATGACACTAAGGCAATCACCGAAAACACTAATCTTATATCCATTGACCTCTTTTCAAACCATTAGCCTTAACTATTACAGATTTTTTGAAGCCAAACCTTCTTACAATTCCCTCACCTCCATTTGTCAGCCTTCCGACAAACAGAAGTGTATAAACTGAAAAGAAAACAGCAAGGCATTAATTGGGTTTTCCAGTAATAAACAAATGTGCAGCTGGGGGTGGGGGTATTACTTACCTCAAAATGTTAAATGATCATCTTTCTGAGGGTATTCACGTACGTGTAACTGGAGAATGAGACAAACAGTTTCCGAAACCTACAGAATCACAAAAGAAGAGAATATAAAAAGGATCAAAGAAACAACTCTGACAAGATATATGGGTTATGCCCTATCAAGGCCAGGCCCCAGAAACTGAATGATCCAGAATGTCAACTTGCTGACCCATGTATTATAGTGCAGAGGCAGGGATATGGTTATGGGTGCAGGTTGGGTAACCGATTTGAAGAACTTACACAGGTCCAGGCCCATTCAAATTCTAACAAACCTTCCCAAGTTGCACCCCTAGCTATGGTTCATTCGCTTGCCCCCTGCATTAGCTTTTTCATGTTTGCCTAATGAAATATTTCTTTACCAACTTTAACAGACAAGGGCATTTTCATAAAGTAGAAGATGAAAGAAAGGTACGCATACCAGATCCATTGGCTCTCATGCTGTGACATTACAAGGAAGCTTTTACAAGGGTTCTCATTAAGCAAGCAATGCATTTGTCCTCTTTGGTAATAGTGGGCATATAAGACTGACAACCACAAATCCACTGGTCCACTATACTTTCGAATTATGCTTGTACTAAGCTGGAAGAAAGAAACACTAAACATCATAATAAATATTGACCCATCCATCAAATATCTCCGGGCAAAAGCTGTTAGTAGAAAGAATAAAAAGATTTGTACAATAACCTATAAGACTGGAAGACAGAAACTTGAATGTGCAAGGGTTTTTTGAAATTTTTCCATTTTTCTAATAAATTTTCAGTATACTTGATCTTGAGAAGGGCGGACTGGATACAGACTTAATCTCTTTTTTCTTTCTTTTTTTTCTTTTTACTTTTTTTTTGGGGGGTGGCACAAAGTGGTTATTCTCAAGTTCAAACCTGCAGTCTCATGCTTGTCTACATCAGCCAAGCTTTTACCATTACATGAAGCAGTGGCTCCTGTGAACAACGTCCTAACCTATATTGTTCCTTTTCTTACGTTTGTAATGAATAAATGAAGTTTTGAAACCACTGGTTACTCGAGTTGTTTGATGAAATTACATCTAGGAGTGATTCCTAGATCTTCAAATGCAATTCCGAGATAAGCAATAGTTCTAGGGCTTTCAAAGAAAACTGATTATGGGGTTCAATACAACTCCCACTTCTTTTATACTTTATGAAATGAACGAGCAGCTATATATCCGCCCCTTATTAAATGAATGTGTGATGTCCTCCAGGCCACGCTACACCCCCATGAAGCACTCAAAGAGAAGTATGGTCCATAGCGCACCAAGTACCCATGCCGCAACCGTCTGTTAATTTGCATAAGATCACATTGCTTAACCCATCCATGACAAGTAACAAACAGAACAAGGAATATAAGCTTCTGTACACATCTCTAAGTAAGAACAAAAACCACATTGCCATTATTGAAAGAGATTAATAATGACATCTTTACAAGTTGGGAACCACAAAGTTTTTTACAAAATAAAGTAATGACCATAAGTACAAAACTGCAATTTCACATAAACATTTTGTCCCTAGCACTGATGAGCGAGGCATATCCTACAGCAGCAATGGACGCCTCTACCAACAGCAGCTGCTTCTCCAACTCGACAGCACTTCCCACACCAATGGGCGAGGAGGTAACCAATCCAACCTTCCAAAAGTAGTGCGTTAACTGCACTACCCTGTGATGCATGAGCCACACTTTGAAGCCCATCATCTTGTAGACATCACACATCTTCGTCCATTGTGCGAACACTACCTAGCTAAGCTCCTCCACAAGCTTAACTGTTAGACAGTGTATGCCCTTAGCTCCAATTAGTTTGATGTACAAATACATTTATTGTAAATGAATAAAAGTACATTATTGTTTCATGTTGTCATTGGTATGTTTTTGTAAAATTATTCTTTAAACTGGACACTTAAGAGACTCGTGTTAGTTTAGAATGTTCTCAGCCGTTGGATAGACTTGGGGAGTATCCTGCCAAGGTTGATACTGATGTGCTGCCAAAGAAGTTGGGGCAGCTAAGGTTGGACCCAAAGCACATGCAGTGAATGTTATGCCCGAACCAATTTCCAATTATACCCTGGACCTTGGAGACTGATGTGCAAAACTAGGAAGTTACATATAACCCCTAGACATGATTATGGTACTGTACTGGGTGTCAGATTGGGTTGTTTTTGATATACCAATCAATGAGATCCTTTGGGGGTCAAAACCTGGGTATATTGGGGCAGTCTGAGAATTCACTTAAGTGGATGATCATAGTGATAGGATCGGCCCCTTTGTCGAACAAAGTGAATGATCGGGACTACACTCTCTCTGATGGAAACCTAAACTACTAGCAGTGGATTTCAACCATGCTTGAGATTTGTTTTGCAAAATATATTTATATATATCATGTTTTAAGAAAAGTGTTGGCAAAAAGGTTTTAATTCCTGGGACCCATCTGTGTAGAGAGTGTGACATTGCACCTTGCAGTCAGGGGAGAGGTAACAAAAATGCTTGTTGGGCCTTGCAACAATGCCCAAGCCCAAACTTCTCTTTACAATTGTAACATAACCCCTTCTCCCTTCTAGCTTGCATCTTGGCCCATGTCAGCCTCTTAAAGGGAATATTAGGCCCAACTTGGTTGCTGTTGTGATTTCCCCAGATGCCCATCCTATTTAACAACTCCGACCGGGTCTCTATTAACCGATACACCCGACCAGTCCAGCCTTCTTACACGGTTCAACTTCTCATCCTATAGCTAGGCTTACCTGACTGCAGCCATCACCATACCCGGTTGCATGGCCTTCACTTCCAACCTAATCTCTTCCTTCAACCCCCTAACAAAACAGCCAACTAAGGCCTTCTCTGACCACCCTGAATGCGGGTAGTTAAGTGTTCAAACTCCATCTAATACTCCCTCACCAATCCAAATTGCCTGAGTTTTGACAATGTCTCATCATAGTCCATGAACCTTGATGGCCCAAATCGAGTTGTGACTGGATCAGTCGGGTCAAGCCAAGGGCACCCTATCCAGCCCAGGTACTTCATTGTAATCAAAATATTGCTCAGCTCGAAAAATCCAGGGGACTGGATCATCATCGCTCTCGATTAATGGTCACCATTTGCACTCAACCCTTCTTGATCACTTTCCTTGTTTCTGCCCTGAAACATCTGATCCACCTTAGATAGCACCGCCGATAAGGCTTCTTTGATGTCCTTTAGGTTAGTGTTCACCTTTTTAAGGTCCTCTTCCACCTGATTTACCTTCGTCTCCATCGTTGAGGCTCGGGAGTTAGCCATGAAACCTGCCTCTAATACTTGATCATAGGTTACTGCCTATCATAGAGTTCCTTCGAGGGGAACCGACCTCTAAAGAAGAAGACAGAAAATTGAAAGGGTTTTTTTGATGCCTTTATTATATGATCGATAGAGTTCATATATATGGCTCAGTTTACTACAGGTGCTCTACTCAAGTTGTTACATGGGATTATCTTGCGCCTGGAATCATTCCAGGGAAGGTGTTGCATGTGCTCTACGACTATAGACCTGTTTAATGGTGGGTAAGTCGCATGTGATAGGTGAGTAGCCAATGGTTGTAGTCGTGGTCTGAATGAGTCGTAACACTATAGCTATAAGGGTGCCCACATGAGAGTCTTAGGAAGCAAGAAAATCCTGATCCCAAGAGATTCTCATTATACATGTGGCAAAACCCTAGAGGAGCTTACCCGTTATGAATGTGGTGAATTAGAACCGCCTTTCTAAGACAAGAAAGTTCCCTCTTGTCATTTTCTTGTCTCCCTTTATAGCCTCACCCACTCATCTATAAACAGGAGAGCCCCAAAAACCTCCACACGAGATTGTCTTGAGAGCATTGAGAAAATCATTACCTTCCTGCTTCCCTTGCTAACATCCTTATATCCCTCTCACCGAGACCTTTTCTTTTCCCCACATGTTCCTAGTCATCTGTCTTTCAAGCGGACCAATCACTCTTGCCTTACCACCATACTTAGATGCTTTAAAAAATATCTTGGACAAAGGGATTTTGTTCTCCAAACATGGGCATTTCAGAGTGAAAGTATATGCAGGTGCTGATTAGACAAGTTTAATGATTGATAGGCAACCTACATTGCACATGGAGAATTAAAATACAAACTATTATGGCAAGGTCAAATTTAAAGATGGAATATAGAGTAATGTTTCATGGTATACTTGTAGTTTGGTGGTTGACAAACCTGTTAGAAGAGTTGGCTTTTCCAATTTCTAGTACCATGTTACTATGACAATAGGAAAATTACTAGTGTTGCCTGTAACTCCATTCAGCACAAAAGCAGTTGACTGAAATATTCACTAAAGATTGTAAATAGCTGATGACATGATCTGTGTAGTAAGTTGGGTATGTATGATATATATATATATATATATATATATCCACTTTAAGGGGAGTGTTGTAATACTTAATGCACTAGCAGCAGGGACATTCTTGTCCTTACGCTGAGATTTACATTATTAATTTAATATAAATAAGAGACTGGGTGCCACCATTCATAACATTCTCTCTAGTCTACGACTGTTCACACTTGACTTTATTTCTTCAACTGATTTATTGCAAAAAAATGAAAAATAAAAAATAAACATTGAATAGAGATGAAGTTTATATCTGTAATACTTGTACGTATATCTTAGAGAAACAAAATAAATCTTGGATGAAAAAAAAATGAATAAGATTTTTTACTTGGATACAAAAACGCATTCATTAGAATACCAAGGAAAAAGAGAAATGAAAAACTCAACTGATAGACGAAGGTAAAAGAAAACATACAAGTTCCCAAGCTTCAATATCTCTATGCGGTCTTTCATATAAGGTCCTACTGTTCATCAAATTTTCCAGAATAACATAAATATCAAAGAATACCATCAGAACATTATAAATTACCAACTAGTCATTGTACAACTAGAAATTTTAAACATACCATGAATGGACTAATCAAATTCATAGCAGAATCTCACAGAAAACATCTAAAAATTGTTGATAAAAATAAAAAAAAAAGAACTCCTAAATCTGTTTCAACATACATAGACTAAAGTGCAAGTCTGTCATATATGACCCAGAAAAGATCTTTAAAGTAAGAATATCCAGAAAGTAATTGAACTTGATCTTATCTTCAAGTCAGATGGATTATTCCACATTGCCCAAGCTTGGCATATCACCTTCCATGATCTTTATTTCTAAATCAACACTGTCTTCAACTTTCTCATTCTTGGTTTATAAGTTAGTTTTTTTTTACTGATATTGATCAAATTATCTTTTTCGTAAATTTTCCATATTGCTCATCAACACAAATGTTCCAATCTAAAATCCAACACAAGCCCTCAACTTTGTTAATAGTCTCATGTTTATGTATTCAGGGTGGTTTTGTATGAATATTTACATAACTGTGGATTGTAATTTCTTTATTTTTATTTCAGTTTTTTTGATAGATGTTATTTTTATTTGAGTTTAGTATAGATATTTGTGCAAGTATTGATTGACCATGGACATCTCTCTTTCCTAGAATTTTGCATTGTCTAACAGTAAAAGAAAATACATATTAGAATTGGTTTCTTCTGCAAACATGGACCTTTCATAGGACTTGGTTTTAGAAGATCCCTAAGAGATTCTGAAACTGAAGAGTAAACAAACTTTTCGGAAGAAATAAAGGCAGTTTTATTTAGTCCAACTAAGGAGGATACAAGAATTTGGTTCCTAAAGCAACATGGATGACTTATTTAGGGGTGCAACTTGGGTGTGCTCGGGTTGGGCTTTTGTCAAAATTTGAATGGACCTGGCTTGAAGGCCCAAGCCCAAAGCACTATAAAATGGGGCCAACCTGAGTTGCACCCCTTGACTTATTTGAGGAGGTGGGAGATTGTCATGGGATTTTCTGTTAGAAAACTGGAAAAGGGTGCTGAATGGTTAGCAACAGACCTTGGGAAAAGAAAATTAAATTTTAGCTACTTCTGTTTAGGTAATCAAGGAGTTTCTAGAATTGAAAGTGATAAGGAATGTTGAAAATTATTACCAAAAAAATGCTGGAAAACATTCTTCCCGGATTTTTAGGACCTCTTGATGTGGTTAATTATATTAGAGCATAAATATATTATAAATTAGATGATGCTAGGGAATGGAGTAATTAGAAATTATAAAGTTGACTTCTTTCAAGAACTGCTCATTCAGGTGGACTTCTAGAGCTGCAAATTGTTTGGCATACTTTCCTGCAAGATCCGTGGTTTAGGGCTGCAAACAGTATCTGATTGTCTGAATTCAAATTCAAATTCAATCCCATTAAGGGTGATTGAATGTTGTGTTTAAAATTTATATTGTATCTATTAGAAGAGTAGGTTTAAATGTTGTGTTTTTACTAAATTGTCATAGATTTAAGTTTCATACAAGTAATTTTCAATACATTTTGTTCATTAAATACAATACCAAAGCCATTTTTAGTTGATTTAGTTAATAATATAATATTGATCATTTTTAGTTTAATTTATTTATACTATTCAATATTCAATTGCAACCTAAATTCACATTCAAATTTGATGGATAACATCTAATTCAAATCCAAATATAAATGAAAGTAGGTATGGTTCAGTTCAGCAGTACCAATTCCTGTGTCTTCCAGTTGACTCTAAAATAACAGCAATAGTTTTTCTTATTAATAGTCTCAGCTTAAAGTTGCTTACCAAAAAAGGTGATGATATGCAGGGAGAAGCTAAATTTGGCAAGGTTCAGAGATCATTCACACAAGGGATGAAAAAACAACTACATGTTCAAACCTGAAAACTTCGGGAAACTGGAGTTCTAGGTAGAGCTTTGGGATGAAAATTTGAAGGATTAATGGAAATAACGAATTTAGAGCTACTTCAACAGCTGATCAACTGGAATCAAAAACAGGGATAAAAAAGCATGAAAGAAAGAGAGAGATGATCCTGGAATTACTTGATAGGGGCTCAGAATCATTCTAGGGTTTATGGGAATCATTCATCATAGCAGGAATAAGCAAAATTTCACTGAACAAATCAATTGCCTAATTTTTTACTCAAAATATATATAGACTCTAGGGTCAGCCATGCTCCTACTAAATTCAATTACTAACTACTCAGCTTATCACTCTAGAATTTTAAACATAACTATTAGAAGCCTACTGAGATTCCAAGACAAACCTTGAAAAAAAAACAAATCCATGTTCCCTATAAATGAAAAAATTCAAACAAATTTTAATCTTAACTTTGCTCCCGCCCCACCTAGAACATACTGAGGAAATAAAGTGTAAACAATAACCAAATAAAGAGCACTTCCAGAAAAGAGGAATAAAAAGTGACATCTTATAGCATAAAGCAGGAAATGCGTTCATAAAGTCAAAGAAGGTAGAAAAAATATCAACTTACCATACACCATGATGCACATCACGGTGATTCCTATGACCCGAAACTCCATAATTGTCAAAAGTAATTAACTAAGAGCCACCAAATAAATGAAGGGAAATAAGAAACACAAACATATTATTATGAATGAAAATAAACCAGGACCTTACTGGTTCTAAAAAAACAGTTTGAAAATGTTTTATATCACTAGGAATATCACTCAAGGGAAATGGAGATATTTTGTGGATATATCACCCATCACTGCTAACAATATTATAAAACTTGGGAACATTCAAAATAATGATTGAATGTTCAGAAAAAAAATTGAAATTTTTTTAATGAAATCCCAGAAAATGTTTAAAGAAGAATATTTATAGTATTTAGGATCAACATATCTATCAAAAAATTCACATCTCCAAAAAGGAGAATAAGAAATAAAAAAGACGCACCCTATGATTCTAGCAAAATAAAATTCTTGCATCTTCTCTACCACTAACTACTACGAATTATTGGTGCAGATATGATCAAGCATAAATCATATCCAAATAGCCTCCAATTATGGTTTAAATTGATAAGAAAACATTACCTACATTTGCTTTTCATTTTTTTTTTATCAATAACACACAATTCATTAATTATCACAATAATTACAAAGAGGAGGAAGACAAACTTTCTTATTTTCCAACTACATTATGAGCCCCAAGAGAAGAAACAAGAGAGAAAGAGAGAACATATGAAGAGAAAAATTAAAATACATCTGTGCCCAAAACATGACATCCCTGTCCACCCCTTGTTTAGCTAACCTATCAGCAAAAGAATTAGCTGATCTTTTTACCCAACTGATTTTAACTTCCATTTCTCGAACCAGCCATCTGAATTTCCTCTTCAAGTTACTATTACTCCATAAACCACTCTCTTCTTTGTTCAGCTACCCAGCCACCACCTCCGAGTCTCCTTCAATTATAAGTTTTCTGATATTCATCTCCCTAGCTTTCTGGACACCTTCCATAACTGCGTGGATCTCAGCTCTAAGAGAGTCACCCACTCCAATTGGGCCTTATAACATGGCAGAAACGACCACATTCTCATCCCTGAAGGCACCCCCCAATCCCTGATTGACCGGGTTCCCTATGCTACTTCCATCAAAGTTTAGTTTTATGAAGCCCGCAAGTGGGGGAGTCCAAGACACACTCACCCCAGCTTTAGTCTGGGTACAGCTAGCAATCTCACCCCACTTCCTCAGCATATCATCCACTATATATTCTGTGAAAAGCTCTAGGGACTTCATCCACTGAATAACCCTTATGTGGATCAAGGCCCTCAACTCTTCATCACCTCTCTCTACATCAGAGAAGATTCTAAAATTTCTTTCTTCCCACAAAGACCAGCATATTGCTGCCCTCAGTCCTCTCCACATAGTCCTTCCCCTTTTCATATGCCACCTAGAAAAAGAAGGATAAAAAAGGCCTTGCAAATTCGAAGGAGGAATCCAGGTACACCCAAAAAGAGAGCAAGCCCACTCCCAAATAGACTTTGCTATATGGCAAGACACCAGAAGATGAAAACCAATCTCCCCATCAGCTTTACAAAGAACACACCGATGAGGGGACAAACAAGTATTGGGTCTCTTCTTTTGGAGCAGATCACCAGTATTGATTCTTTCCAAAAGGGCTTCCCAACAAAAACTACCAACCTTAGGAGGGATTCGTCTGCACCAAACCTCATTAACAAGGAAAGGGGGGGGGGGGTTTACAGGATTGGTGGGCTGGCTTAGTACTTTAAAGAAAGAGGCACAGGAGAAACAACCAGTAGGGGTGGGGGTCCAGATTCTGCAGTCATCCTTAAAAGGGTCCAAGAAAACATTATTAAGAATAAAGAGGAGACATGAGATACTGTCTAGGTCTAAGTCTCTCACAGCCCTTCTCAAACCCAAATTCCAACCAAACCCAGAAATGGAAGATGATGGGGTCAAAAAAGAGGAAACTAGCTCATTTTTAAAATCAAAAAGAGCATACAAAGAAGGAAACTAGTCCTTAAGAGGTGCATTCCCCACCCACATTTGTTCCCAGAATTTTATGGAGTTGCCTAAGTTCAAATTATACATGATAAGAGGGGAGAAAACTGGTAATAAGTCATGAATGGCTTTCCAAAGCGAGGCACTTGTGGTCCTAGCCAGAATTCCAACATCCCATCTTACCACTATTTTGGCCCATAGTTTATCCTTCTCTAGTGGGAATCTCCACAACCATTTCCCCAAGAGTACCAAATTCCTTTCTCTAATATTCCCAAGCCCTAACCCACCATTGTTTTTACTCCTGGTCACCACCTTCCAGCTTACCCTATGGTCCCTCTTCTCCTCTCCCGACTCCCAAAGGAAGTCTCTCATCATTTTTTCCAATCTATTAGCAACCTTTACTGGGATTTTGAACACTGAAAGGAAATAGATGGGTGAATTTGCTAGAGTAGCCTTAATCAATGTTGTCCTACCTCCAAGAGAAAGATAATTCTTTTTCCAAGCTACAAGTCTCTTCTCAAATCTTTCCACCATCGGATTCCAGAAACTCTCCCTCTTTGGATTGCCACTCAAAGGAAACCCCAAGTAGTTCAATGGCCATCCTAAGACCACACACCCTAGCACTTCTGCACTCTCCCTAGTTTCTTGCTCCTCCAAATTCACACCCACTACACAACTTTTCTCAAAGTTCACCTTCAAATTTGACATTCGTTCAAAAAGTAGTACCACCAAGTTCATGTTCCTAATATACCCCAAGTTTCCTCCTTCACAAAACAAAATCGTGTCATCTGCAAATTGTAGGTGGGTGAGGGGGTTTCCTCCCTAGAGTCAGCTCTATGAATTAGTCTCCTCAAAACATCAGCAATCAATGTGAACAAGAAAGGAAAGAGGGGCTCCCCTTGTCTTATACCCCTAATAGCTAGAAAGAAATCAACCACTGGCCCATTCACTAGTACAAAATAATGACAATTCCTAACACACCCTATAATCCACTTGCACCATCTATCCCCAAATCCAAATTTGAACATGACGCTCCTCAAAAAGTCCCAATCTACCAAGTCATAAGCCTTTTCTAGATCCAGCTTACATACCACTCCCTTCTTCCCATCCTTTCTGAAATGCTCAACACTCTCATTAGCAATTAGGATTTGGTCGGTAATTTGTCTTCCACTCACAAAGGCTCCTTGATTTGGTGTAATGATATCCGGCAATACTTCCTTCAATCTCAAAGACAACACCTTAACCACAATCTTATACAAACTATTTACCAAACTAATTGACCTAAAGTTCTTTGGGTGGGATGCATCTTTCTTTTATAGAACTACAGCTAAAAAGGTGGAATTCACACCTGGGTTAACCACTCCTCTCCTATGAAATTCCTCAAACATCAACAATAGATCATCTTTCAAAGTATCCCAACAATCTTGATAAAAAGCCATTGTGAAACCATCTGGACCTAGAGCTTTTGTTCTATCCATTGAGAAGACAGCCTCCTTAATTTCTTCCAACTCAAACCTTCTTTCCAATCTTCTCTTATTATCAACCCCCACATCTGGCCAGTCCAAGCCTTCCAACCACACCCCCTACTCACAGGCCTCCTTAAGATAGATTTAAAATGTCCTACAAAGGCCCCTACAATCTCATCTTGTTGTGTCAACTCCATCCACCTCTAGTTTGGAAATAAAATTTCTCCTTCTCCTTCCATTAAACAAAGAATGAAAGAACCTGGTATTCCTATCCCCCTCTTGCAGCCACTTACATCTAGATTTTTGCCTCCAACTTATTTCCTCCTTATGTAGGCAGTCCTCTAAACTGTCTTCTCAAACTTCTTCTTTGCTCCTTGTTTGTCTCCCCAAACTCTCCCCTCTCTTCTTTCACATCTAAGCTCACAATTTGGTCCATCAAAGCTCTCTTTCTATCTTCAGTCCTTCCAAACTCCAATTGATTCCATTCCTTGATCTTTGCTTTCAGAAATTGTAATTTATTATGGAATCCCATTCCTTCCCATTCCACCATTGGGTTACATTCACTCCACCACTCCCTTACTCTTTTAGTGAACCCCGAATGGAGTAACCACATATTTTCAAACTTAAATGGGGAAGGACCTCCACTCCTCCTCTGCTCCTTGCAGATCACAATAGGCCAGTGGTCAGAGGTCAATCTAGGATGAACTCTAGAATCTAAATTCCCCCAATGTTCCTCCCAATCCAAAGAGAACATGAACCTATCTAGCTTGGAGCAAATGGGATTTGCTTGGAGATTTGACCAGGTGAATATCTTATGGGCTAAGGGAATCTCTTTAAGTTCAAATGCATCCACAAACCGGTTAAACTTCCTCATACTAGTTGTCACCCTTTGATTGGTATTATTGGTTTCCTCCTTGAATCTTACCACATTAAAGTCCCCACCCACACACCAGGGCCCATCCCAAAGCCCTCTGATATCAGCCAGCTCCTCCCACAATTCCTTTCTCTCTCTCTAGTCATTTGGTCCATAAACATTTGTGAGCACCCACATAAAACCAGTCCTCCTGTTGCTTGAACTTCAATGATACTGAGTACTTTCCAATCAATTCCTCCATGCCTAAAACTACATCCCTCTTCCACATTGTCACTATCCCCCCCGAGGCACCCCAAGAGGGAGCAGCCACCCAGCTAATCCCCCTGGCTTTCAAGACACTCCTTGCCCATCTATCATAAAACCCCATTCTCTCGGATTCCTGTATTAAAACAATGTCTAGGTCATACTTCTTAATTACCTCTTTGGTCGTAGCTCTCTTCCTTGCACTTCCTATGCCCCTCACATTCCAACTAAGTATCTTCATAGTCACCTTTTCCTTATCTCCCTACTACTACTCACCACTACTTCTCCCCTTTTCTTCTATCACCTTTCATCCCAAAGCTCTTATCAAATTCCACATCCCTTTTCAATCTCTCAATTTCACTCATTTTCCTTTTCTTTGTTTTGATTTCCTTCTTCTTCTTCTGTAGGCCATTTTTCAAATCATTCAAGTCCTTCATTCTACATCCAAGCTTCCCCACAAAGTCTGCTATCAAGTCTTCTCTATTAGATCCCTCC